CTACTTGTGGCCTCGAGAATTTGTGGTCAAGACTGATCATGAGTCATTAAAATACTTGAAGAGCCAAGGTAAACTTAGTCGTAGGCATGCTAAATGGGTAGAGTTTATTGAAACTTTTCCTTATGTAATTGCTTACAAACAAGGAAAGGAGAATGTGGTTGCTGATGCACTCTCAAGAAGGTATGTTTTGATCTCTACTCTTACTTCAAAGTTATTGGGTTTTGACCAAATCAAGTTCCTCTATGCTAATGATTCTGATTTTGGTGAGATTTTTGCTGAATGTAAGTTAGGTCCTTTTGAGAAATTTAATCTTCAAGATGAATTTCTATTCAAGGAAAATAAATTATGTGTTCCTAACTGCTCGTTGCGTGAACTATTTGTTAGGGAAGCACATTGTGGAGGGCTAATGGGACATTTTGGTGTACCCAAAACACTGGAAATACTTTCTGAACATTTTTATTGGCCTAGCATGAGAAAGGATGTTGAAAAAGTGTGTTCTTATTGTCTTGAATGTAAACAGGCTAAGTCTAGAACATTGCCGCATGGTCTTTATACTCCTTTACCTGTTTCTAATTCCCCTTGGATTGATATTTCTATGGATTTCATATTGGGGCTGCCAAGGACTAAGTATGGTAAGGATAGTATATTTGTGGTAGTAGATAGATTTTCTAAAATGGCTCGTTTTATCCCATGTAAAAAGACTAATGATGCATCTCATGTGGCTGACTTGTTTGTAAAGGAAGTGGTTAAATTGCATGGAATACCTAGAACTATTGTTAGCGATAGGGATGCCAAGTTCTTAAGTCACTTTTGGAGAATTCTTTGGGGAAAGTTGGGAACTAAATTGCTATTTTCTACATCTTGTCACCCACAAACGGACGGGCAAACGGAAGTGGTTAATAGAACTTTAGGGAACATGTTGAGGGCTATTTTGAAAGGAAAGTTGACTTCTTGGGAAGATTACTTACCTATTGTAGAATTTGCTTATAATAGAACATTCCATTCTTCTACTGGTAAGACTCCTTTTGAAGTTGTATATGGATTCAACCCCTTTACCCCCCTTGATTTATTGCCTTTGCCTACTAATGATTTTGCTAATCTTGATGGTAAGAAGAAGGCTGATATGATGAAGAAAATTCATGAACAAACAAGGCTTGCAATTGAAAAGAAGAACAAGGAAGTTGCATTGCGAAGGAATAAGGGCAGAAAATATGTTGTTTTTAAACCTGGTGACTTGGTTTGGGTGCATATGCGAAAGGAAAGATTTCCTTCCAAAAGAAAGACCAAACTAGATCCTAGAGGAAGTGGGCCATACAAAGTCCTTGAAAGGATTGGAGACAATGCTTATAAACTTGATCTTCCTGGTGAGTTCCAAGTTAGTGCTACTTTTAATGTTTCTGATCTTTCCCATTTTGATGCAGATTTGAATTCGAGGACGAATTCTCTTCAAGAAGAGGGGAATGATAGCATCCAAGGAAGCTCTACTCCATTGAAGGACAAGGATGACGCTTTAGAAACTCCAAGGAGGCCCATAACAAGATCTCAAACCAAGGAGTTCAATGATAAGCTCAATGGGCTTCAATCGCTGATCCAAAGGTTTCTTATTGGGGAAGAAGAGCTCAAGCCCAAGGGAGAGGAATTGTCCAAATGCTACAATTATTTGGTGGCCCAAATTCAAGCCCAAGATGAGGAATTTTAAGGTCCAATTTCGTGCAAAAAAGGTCAAGAAGAGTCCAAGAATCAGCCACAACAAGAGTTGCTTTCTGCCCAAGTTTTGAGAGAAGACTAGTCAAACTTTCCAAGATTGTCAAGATTCTTTTCCTAGTTGGGATTTACCTTATTTATTTATTTATATATAGGTTATTAATATTTCCCTTAGTCTATTTATGGTCTCCTAAGTACCATTTAATGCTTTCCTAGAAGTACTAAATGTGTTCCTAGTTAGGTTACTTTATTTCCTTTCTAGAGTAGGATTCCTTGTAATTGTTTTTTTTAGGGTTTGGCTTCTTGGACGTTTTTCCCTTCTCCTATATATAGGAGTCCTTTTCATTCATTAAAGACAATTTAGATTGATATTAAGAATATTTGAGAGAGTTCTTTGAACCTTTGTGACTTGTTCTTTGAGAATTTATCTTTAAACCTTTACTAGTTTCATAGTTTAAGGTATAAAGTAATTTCTTCTTGTGATATCTTTGGTTTCTTTTTGGTATTCTTTAGAAGGTGATTAGTTTCTACATACTAATTATTGTCTTTAGTTACTCATAAAGCGGTCAAGATCCGAATCTATCGTTTTGATTCGTTTTCTCAAGTAAAGGCGTTAGATTTCTTCCATAAATCTATACGTTGTTACTTGGATCTTTTCAAGGCCTTAGAACATCTAATCTTTGGAAATTCGTGGATCTTTCCTTCGAATTTCCCATATCTTTATTTAGTTTTTTTTGTTTCTTTTCTTTGTGCTTCCGCATTCTAATATTTAATTCTCTATTTGTGATCTCCCTTAACCTTGTTGTTATCAGCATATGATCATGTCAACTGGGAGTTCTTGCTTAATATCTTAAAACAAATAGGGTTTGGTGAGAGATGGTTGAGATGGATTGAGGTCTGTATAAAAACTGTTTTTTTTTCCTCATGAAGAGGTCTCCGATGGGAGACCCTTTGTCCCCTTTTCCTTTTCATCATAGCCATGGAAGGATTCGATAGTATGATGAGGGTAGCTACTCAAAACTCATTGTTGCAAGGATTCAAAGTAGGCAGTATCTCAGGGGTGGATATGCAGATTTGTCACTTGCTTTATGCTGATGACAATGTCATATTTTGTGAAGCTAAGGAGGAACAAATTAGAATTGTTAGAATGATTTGGGTAGTCATTGAGGCTATCTCAGGCTTGGCAGTCAATTGGAGGAAGAGTTGTATATATCCCATCAAAGAGGTTACACAGATCCAGGCCTTAGCAAACATTTTGGGGTGCAGAATTGAAAAACTCCCAATTGTTTACCTAGGTATGCCACTTGGAAACAACCATAAAGAGCTAGTGATATGGGATGGTATAATTGAAAAAACTGAGAAGAAGCTGGCAAACTAGAAATCTCAATATCTATCCTTCGGTGGGAGAATCATACTGATAAACTCTGTACTAGACTCTTTACCTACCTATGTGATGTCCCTATTCCCTATGCCAGCCAAAGTGAAAGAAAGACTTGATAAATTAAGGAGGGACTTCCTTTGGTCGGGAATCAAGGAAGGTAAAAGAATACATTTTGTCAAATGGCAAACTGCTTTGCTTAGTAGAAGCTCAAGGGGGTTAGGGATTAGAAACTTGGGGCTACAAACAAGTGCTTGTTGGCAAAATGGTTGTGGAGGTTTGGAAGAGAGGATCAAGAACTTTGGAAGGAAGTTATCAGTAACAAGTACGGCCAGAATAGCCCATGGGTTTCCGATATGGTGAATATCCCGTATGGTGTCTCGGTGTGGAGAACTATCAGAAATTAATGGAGTCAACTATAACACAATATGAGATACAAAGTGGGGAATGGGACCAGGGTTCTTTTCTGGAAAGATCACTGGATTGGTCAGGACTCCTTGATGTCTTCCTATCCAGATATATATACCCTCATCTCTTCTCCAGATGCAATGGTAAATGAGGTATGGTCTGAACAAGGGTGGAATGTAAGCTTCAGAAGGTTACTAAATGACTGAGAGATAGGGACAGTAGCCGAGATGCTACAAACACTAGATGATTTCAAGGGCACAAATCTGGAAGCTGATGTAATCATTTGGAAACACAATCATGATGGTATGTTGTCAGTCAGCAGATTGTACAATAGGAAAGTGAAGGAACTTCCAGGGGAAATCTCTGGACCATGGAGTAAGGTATGGAAGAATAAAGTGCCAACTAAAGTGAGGTGTTTCTCATGGCTAGTGGCTAGAAGGGCATGCATAACTCATGAAAAGTTCCAAAGAAGAGGCTTTGAAATAGCTTCTTGGTGTTCACTATGTAATGAGACAAATGAGACTAATAGCCATCTATTCCTCCATTGCAAAGTCACTGCTCAATTATGGGCCACTAAGCAGAACACACACAAACTGAACAATGCCAGAACACACTGCAGACCTCCTTAGTTGCTGGGTGAGAAGAGGGGGGAGTAAGAGCCAGAAGAAATGGTGGAACATGATACCTCTTATATATGGTGGACTATTTGGAGAGAAAGAAACAAGAGGTTGATGGAAAATACTGCAGAATCAGTGCAAAAGATCAAATGGCATTGTATGAAGACTTTCTTTTTTGGTGTAAAGAGGAGGATATAGAGGATGCTGGACAGATTTTAAATTGTTTCTCTTCTTTATAAGTTTAGTAGCAGCTTTCTTGAGTTGGCCTTTTTTGGGTCACTGATGTAAATCTTTTTGATGGTTGCCAGCATACCCTCATTGTTGAGGAATACAACTTTACCTTTATCAAAAAAAAAACTTCAGCGGTAAATCTGGTCGTACCAAGAAACAACATAAAGGAAAGCTTCAAGCTTTTCAAGTTCAATAGTTTAACAGATCTCTTTCTTCTGTGTTTCCTAATTTCCATCCACATCTCCATCTTCCCGAAGAAAGTAATGTCTCTCTTTATTTTGTTAGTTGAGAACGAGAACAATAGATGTAGATGAGCAACTAGGATTCTGAGATAACATCTTAAGATGGATTAATTGTTCACGAGTGTAACAACTTGGTGAAAGCAAGACAGCTGTTCTATTAGTATTCTCTCTTTGAAGTGGTTGTCTTGCTGTTGAGAGCAAAGTTTTCCGAGTATTTTCTTGCTAAAGTTGCATTGAATAGAATTTACTGTAAGAAAAACCATTTGCACGAGTGATATTTGCAAAAGCCACAAAGTTCAGCAGTGGCTTTATTTTCCTTCGACTTACTTTTTTTTGTTTTTGCAGCGAGTCTGTTACACCTAGAGAGATGCCAATGACAAAGAGAAGGTATTGACATAATGGAAGTAAGATCAGTCCAACCTGCATCCTTTGTCAATTTGAAGGCATGCATCATGCATGTTTGTATTAAGTCGATCCATTAAACTTTCCTCAGTAACACGGTATTCAACATTTCCTACAAACAGAGAAGTCATATTTTCAGCTCTCCAAAGAAAATGAAAATCCAATGCATTGTCATTAGCTAAAACCTACTCCATAAATGGGGAAGAAAACGGCTATGGAAGCCTAAATAATCATTTAACATACTGAGCAAGAGGTTCTTACTTGTCATTGGAGCCTTAGTCTGTCTAAGCTAAGTACTATAGTTCATAGGCATCTTGGTTTCAAGAGCCAAAGAGAAACCAAGGTAATACTAGATATAAAGCATCATGGCTGGGGTAGATACATTCTTACTTTCCTCAGCTATTAGTCCTAAAATTCCTAAAAGTAAACAAAACAAATAAAGGGGATAAAGCAGTAGATATTGTGCATTTTGACTCTTATCACTCTTGAGATGTCAAACTTGTTAAAACATAGGCATGATAGAGAAATCAAGAAAATCAGGGGCAGTTGTGGCATTCCCAAATTGAGATTAGTATTCTATCAATTTCACATATTCTCTATAATCTGAATTAACATTAACTATATAAATGACGAAACAAAGAATTCCACTCTCTGCTGGTGAAAGGGGAAAATGTTTATATGCATAAGCAGGATAAAAATTTACTGTCATTACCTGCTCTATTTTTAACATCAATGAAGCTATCCTTCTTGATTATTTTCAGAAAGTCCTTGCCCAAGCGCTCTGCAATGCCTTTCTCTAGATTATAACGGCCAGACAAATTGATTACTGTGTGAACATCATGATACTTAGAAGCATATAGAAGCACAACATTCCCTCCTGCAACAGTTTATTTCTGATAATTAGTCAACTTACATGAACATGACAAAATGATAATACTTAATGTCATTTATAGAGGAAGACAAGAGCACAAAACAAAGTACATCCCTATTGACCCACAGTGATTAATATTCAGGGATAATTTCCGTTATTTGCATTGAGGTGACGAACTCTTTGAATTATCTTTTATTGAGGTAAAAAGAATTTGTCAAACCTAAGTATACATATCCTTCTTGTTGGTCCTTTTTCTCTTTTGGCACATGAGTTAGGAGCAACGAATTCAACCACAAGGACTTCTCATAGCTGATATTTCTCGTGTATGGCCCTAGCAATGAATATACAACCTAGCCTTCCATCTGTTCTCTTCTTCTCATCTGCCTAATCATGCTGACAAAATTACCCAGTATCTGTGTTGGTGGAGGTAGCAGGTTCCTAGTAGAATAGTCATGGGCTGCTCAAGCTGGCCCAGAAACCACCATTATCAAAATGTTGTCTGTACTTAGGACAACTAGTTTCAAAATTAATAAGGGGTACAACAACAGCTATCTGATATCATTCTTTAATAATGACAACTAGCTGATATAATCTAAAAGGAACAAGGGACTTTGGCACATATTAGCACCTTGAGATGCTTCTTCTCTTTTCTCTTTTCTCTTTTGTCTTGAACTTTGATTTTGCAGCTACACCTTAACAGGATTCCATGAAGACAGAGACGGAGCTAGGCTCTTTTGTTTATGGGTTCTAGACCACCATTCTTTTTGCTTATTGAGTTCTGGATAAATAATTTGTACATACTAAATGAATTTTTAACACAAACATAAGGTTTGAGCCAAAGTTAGTGGATTCTGCTGAACCTATAACTACCACTATGCCTCTGCCCTGCATGAAGGAAGAGCCACAATGTGATTATGTGGGAGAAGAAGATTATCACATCCAGATACAACAACATAACCAGTGTAATCCCACAGGTGAGGTCTGGGAAGGGTAGACTATATGCAGACCTTACCCCTACCTTGACAGGTAGAGAGGCCATTTCCGATAGACCCTCGGTTCAAGGAAAAAGGAGGGATACAACACAAGGACTTTCCAGGGGTCACCCATCCTAGTATTACTCTCACCCAAGCACACTTAGCTTCGGAGTTCTGATGAGATCCCGGTGTGTTAGTGCTGGTATAATCGCATCCTATTGTCGCATCTGGATATCATCAAAAAATAAATAAAAACCTAAAGCATAATAATTTCGCGGGCAAAACATTTTTCTTCAATATAGTGCATAAAAATATTCTTAATATACTATACAACTCTTGGCAAAAGTTGACACACCTTTACTATGTCCAAGGACTGCTGTTACTTTGAGGTTTGCTCCATTGAAATATTCAACCACAGAATGCAAGTCATCCGCCTCACTACGGTAGTTACCATACTGAAATGAACCTTCGCTTTCACTGGAAAGCAGTTGATAATGTACAACCAAGAATTGTGAAAGAACTAATGTTAGTCACTGCATACAGAAATTTGGGACAACAAATTTCTGAAAGCTAAGATGATGAGAGCGGAAGTAAATCAAAGAGAATAATGGAATATAAATGATGTAAGATTTTGCTTTTGACCCATTGCATTGACCTCAAGTTAGGTCTGTATTCCGTTGTGTTTACTACCTCTACGAGAAATCAAGAAAGAAAAGCATTAGAATGTAGACACTTTAGAGTTATGACCAACCCTGCTCACATTGTTGGAATAATGATTTATTCCCTTAGGGAAAAGGTCAGCTCACAACTATTATTTATTTGGAAGTTAAAAGCCTCTATAGATTTAGCCTTTTAGGCAGTTGCAGTAAATACTATGAACCAATGGTAAGGGAGAAATAGAAGCCACAGATTAAATACAAACTGAATAGCAGCTCCTATAACTAGATATAATTGCACATTTTTCTCATAAAAAGAAATTAAATAAGAAGAAGATACTGTTCACACCAATAACAGTAGTCTACCTAAAGAGAATTCATAACAGTAAATGTAAAGCTCCCTCTTTATCTAGAGATTGCCTGAATAATATAGATGGTCCTTTTAATACAAGAGCTTACCCATTTCCAGGGAAGTCAAAGCGAAATACACTGATTCCTTCTTTCTCCAGGGCACCAGCAAGGTTCACCATAGTGTTGAAGTCCTAGCAACAGAAACACAATGAAAATTTAGATGCTTCATCAACAACTCTCCCACCATCAAACAGACTACACATATACTGATAAAAAGCACAGAGAAAAAAATCATCTATTGTGGAACTTAACCAAAAAATTTAACTTATTAAATTATGCAAGAAAGTCAGTGAGCCAGTAATTGCTTCAATCATGAACTTAAGGTACTTTACATTTAAATTCAATATTATCTGGTCCGAAAAGTCAAAAAAGATAATTTGCTCGATGAAATTGTTCAGAGTTCAGTTTTAACTGAAGCCAAATCAAAGTTGTATATTCACTATAGTTATCTAGAGCATCAATTGCAAATATTTTTTGAGAAAGATAATGTTGTATTCCTTATGCTGGAGACCTCCAAAAATTGGTTCCCAACAAGAGAGAAAACAAAAAGGCTAATAGATTACAAAGTGCCTATAAAATCTAAAATTTGTGCAGCTTTTTCTGTCCCTTCTTCTTTATACCAAAAATAAAAAGTAGTCAAGCAGTTCCATTTGACTTTCTCTATTGAATTAGCCTTGTTTTCAAAGCATCTGCTATACCAAACTGATAGAAACTAAGTTAAAACAAGATGAGAAAGAAACTTTACTGGTTAAATAAAGTGCAAGAATCTTAAACACTGCATTAACCAATAACTATGTCTGTATGGAGTGGACAAATCTCTAGATACAAAGATAATGATAATACTTTTCTTCTTCCTACCGAAATTCTCCTAGATACATATATTTATACTTATCATAAAGATAACTCCTATCACAAAGAAACAATTATTGTTGTAGATAACTGCCGATAATAATTGTTGCTTATAACTACTATAGATAACTACTACTTATATATTTTATCCTATTTAAAACAAAGAAACTAAGATAAAGGAGTAGTCGTATCAGTCTCCCTGCCTTAGACCCCTTTCTGATGGGGAAAATCCAGCAGGTTCTCCATTCACTAAAATGGAGAACCGAACAATTTTTATACAATAGTCAATCCACTTCAACCATTTCTCCCCAAAACCCCATAAAATTTGTTTTTGACAGAGTGGAAGGTGAATCTGCAAGTACTTGCATTATATTGACACAAATAATCTCAAATTTGAACTTGTTTTACTAGATGCTGCTCATATTTGTACTTGTATGACCCGATGCTGTTCAATCTTCATGAGGTTGAGCACTAGCCAAATTCTGGTGCTCGAGTGGTATAACCCAATGTGCCTTGCCAAGGGCATTGGTCAACTAGATCTGCTTTACTCAAAAAGAACCAGTAAATCTTGATATCAGTAAACCCCATTCAGGGTCAAGTCAACGTGGAAAATCACCAGTCAACTAAAAATCAACAGGAACTTTGTTAACAGAGATGTGAAGCAGCAATGGATGCTGAAAACAATACAGACTAAAAATCTCATTTAAGAGAATCTAAGTAAAGCCCTACTACTTGGGAATCTGACATCATTCTTAGCCCTCACATTTCTGCATCAAAATGCAACTAAGCAAATAAAGCTGATTTAGTTTGATTCCTCAACCCATCCTCCAAATATATTCATTCTTCAATTATCTTTTTGAGCAAGACTTTTTTTTTTGAGTAAGAATTCTTTCTTCAATTAATTGTTTTTGATGACTGTGGTGTCCGGGCCAGCTTGCAGGCACCTCAACTAATTTCATGGGATACCTACCACCTCCCACCAGCAACATGTACTATGTAACTCTTCAATTAATTAATAACTGACATTATCTGTTTTTGTTCACTTATTTTGTTTGGATGATTTCAGACTTACACTATTGTTGCTCAAGAGCATTGGTGAAAATAAAGTCAGATATGTCACAGTGGTGGGACGCTACAGCACTACATACTTACAGCCGAGGCAACTTACTTTCTGAAACTTATGTCAGCGCCATTGAACTAGGTGACTTTACCAGAAAACTCAAGGAAGCAATAGAACAGCTAATGAAGCACAAGAACCATAGTGAAAGGGGAATAGTTCAGACCTTTGACGATCTGAATCCATGACACAAGACCACGATCTCCATAGATCCAGTATCATGCAACACTCCAACTAGTTTCTCATTGTGTTGGTTCAGCACTGTAATTTTCTTCTGCACAGCTGCTGGACATCAGGACACGTGCATAGGTAAGTAGACAGAAGAATGTCACAGAACATGTTATTAGTTGTCAAGGGATCAGCATTGCCTCTTTCTCCTGTATAACCAAATTGATGAGTTTATTGTAGCATTTTTAATTGGTATCAGGCTTCCATATTGAATATGAAGAAGAGCCTCAGACTTTCACCAAAAGTTGTCAAAAATCCCGGAATTATGTTTAGTGACTTAATCGGGTTGACTCTCTTTTTATTCATTCCAAGCATCATTTATGGACTAATCCAGCATAGATCCCAGAATGACTCCTGGAAACAGAGTGTGCTATATTTAACAAAGTTGCTGCAGTTAAATTGGCACTAGCTACACAACTTTTAGGCACTATGATCGGAAGTGAGTGTAATAGCTGGGGAGCAGTACTGGTTACACGACTGAAGCACTATTGGCAGAGAAAGTCTAGAGTGATTAACTACTGATTTCGGTGCTGAACATGAGTTAGTTCACAACACAGTAAGCTAGAAGTGTGCATAATGAAAACACTTTTTTTTCAGAATTCTTAAACAATGTAGATCACAATGGCCAAAACAAATGTTGGTTGCTCCAGCAGAGTTGGGAGTCCTCATCCATACTGAAAACAAAACAGAATTGACCTCTTCTCTTTCGTGATGTTTTTGACATTGGTGTAAACATTACAACTTCATAAAGCCATTTTGTGTATTATCACAGTAAAGCACTTGTCTTTACATTTTTATTCTGCTAAAAATTGTCACCTGGGTTTTCTGTCATGCTGAAAGCTACTTCAAGTGTGATGCTGCGCCTGCGTGAGGGATTAATGAGAACCTGTGGAAGAGGAAATTCTGAGATAAAAAGTGGTTTTTGGGGAAGAACAAAATTTGGGGATACCACATTGACATTGTAGGCGAAAATTCCCATGGCTGAACCAATACAATGAGCAGATGTTGACAAAGCAAATGATTGCTTCTTACCTTGGTCTGGACAATATTGATTGTTCCTTGCTACTGCACTCAGCCAATCCAGACCAAAAAACACGAGCTCCAGATGGAGGTCAAAAATTACACACGAGCTTTACTTTTTGACATTCCTGTGTTTGGTAAAATGTTTTCTTGAAAAACAATTGATTTTTTATTTATTTTCTGATTTGGTTGGTGAGTAGAATTTTTTTTTTTTGTATTTGCTTCATGAATCAAAAAATATGTTTTATTTTTTTTCTAGAGAGTAGAAAATAATTTCTAACGTGATAACCAACCTCGATAATTAGGGTTATTCATGGTTATGGTTAAAAAATCAAATCGAACCGCAGTCCGAACCGAATCGATTAAAAAATTGATATTTGGTTAGATTTGGTTTAAAATTTTGAAAACCGATACTATTTTGGTTTGGTTTTGGTTTCACTAAAAAAACAACTGAAAAAATAATCAAATCGAACCGATAAATTAGATATATAAATTTTATAATTATTTATTTACCTGTCACAACCGTATCTCGGAACTAATATAAATAAGCATGTTCACACAAATAATGAGGAGATAATCATTTTTATATCAATGCTGCTTTCTAATTCATAATCTACATATTCTATTTGTGTATATTTTTCATCGTCTATTATTATTTCTGATATTTGTTTTTTCTTTGGGTTCTTAGGTAATTTACGATCTCTAGCTATATGTCCTAATTGATAAAAATGTTATTGCAGATTACTTATCAAGACAAAGCTACTCAGACTGAGACTGAGGAAGAAGATACAATTGAAAAACTACTCAAAGCCATAACTACACTTTGTATAAAAGTGGATAGTATGGACAACGAGATACAAAAGCTAAAGACTAATGAAGATAATCTGAAGTCTAAAGCTAGTCAGCAGCATGACTATAAAAATGCGGAGCTACGTCGACCGGAAGACGGAAAAAACCCAGAGCTAAAAGGAGACGATGGGAAACTCCTTAAAACCCATAACGTTTGTTTAAATACAGCTGCAGGTACAAGCAAACAAGTTAGCGATAAACAACATAAAAACGCTAACTTAAACCAGCTATTTGCAAAACCATTTACCCAAAGGACACCTTCACACTAACACCATTGTGAAAACAATATCAACAATGAATCAATAGACCTTTCAAGTCATCATCAACACATCACACATCAATATATAATCAAGTTGCCTTTTATTATTTTTTTGTTCAGCATTAAGATCATTCAATATCAACAAGTCAACTCATAACCAAGTGTCATTACTCCTCAATACATACCACAAAGAAATACATGATTCTATACACTTAATAAGGGTCGAGAAATTCACTTGCCTCAAATAATCGAACAATCACTCCAGGTTTTGTGTCTTCTCCTTTTGTTGGGATTCCAAATCAATGTGATCTATCAAATAAGTAACCACAATAAAATTTTGAAACTAACAACACTCATATCAATGATTTTCGAGCTGCAGAACTCCCAATATGCTCAGATTACACAGTCTAAATTTTTAAATACATGTACAGCGGTAGTTGCACCAGCAAATCAGAAACTTTTGTTTCACTAAAAATGTCGTAAATTTCTCATACAATAGCGAAATGATCCAATTCTTTTTCCTACATGTCTTAAATAATAATACAGATCTACTCGTTCGATCGAAACTCAATTCCATATTCATTTGTCTAGTCAACTATCATTTCTTCCCGATAAATAATTATTTCATATATCGCGATAAAAGCTCAATCTCGACTTAGCGAAAATGAACCAAACTTTGCAGATCAATCCTATAATTCATGCTCAAACTTTTCGAAGTTTTGAAATAATTTTTTGATCTTTAAAATTAATAACGAACCTTTTAGTTGACACAAATTGGTGAAACAATGTCAAGGCACCCAAAAAGCTTAGAAACTCGCACATAACTCGTCTGGAACCTCCCAAACACGAACCATATATGCTTCTAGCTTGAAAATGATAGTTCAGACCAGTGTTATCAAAGGTGCACTTTAAGCGCGCTTAAGCACTGAAGCGAGGCTCAAAACGTATTGAGCGTTTCACCTCGCTTTATGCGCGCTTCAGTGTCGTCATCAAGGTTCTAAGGCAAATGTTTCCTTGCCAATAAGCCTCTTATGAAGAAGTGACTAAAAATTTGATATTTCACTTTATCATAAAAAAAATTCAATTTCTTTGGTCATATATTTGTTATTCATGTTTATAATTATTAGTCTTGGACTAAAAAAATATATTTATTTTCTTTTCTCCCTTTGCGCCTTTTTTTATTAAAGAACACACTTTATTTGCGCTTAAAGCCCCTACGAACCTTAGAGCTTTTTTGCACTTTTCGCCTCCTTAGAGCTTTTTTGCGGTTTTCGCCTTTCATAACACTGGTTCAGACTCAATGGAATCATCAAAACACCCAAACAAGGTCACCTTAACCTGATGTTGAACAAAGTCAACTTTAACTTAAGAATCTCCAATTTTTGAAATAAAGACATGAAACTTATCCAAAAGCTTCGGGAATTGAACCAAGCCTTCAACTAGGCCAAATATAATCATTTGGACCTAGTGAAATCATCAAAACTCAAAAATAACCTTTCTAACCTCAAACGTTGACTAAAGTCAAACTTTAGCTTAACTCTTTTTTTTAAAGAATCAGTACCATAACCTTAGCCTTAACTTTTCCCGCATTTCGTCTAATGGATCAAAATCAAGCCAAAAGCCTTAGAACCCAAACCAACAATACGTCTAGACCAAAAATCATATTACAGAGCTAACAGAACTGACGGAAGTCCATTTCGAGACTCGTAGCTCCGGTTGTTACCAAAAACCACTTTTAACAACTTTAACTCTCCAAAACTCTAAAACTTCCAAAAATCACAAGTTTACAATCAAATTTCAAAACCAACTTCATACATTGATCAAACAAGACTCGAGATAACTATCGTGAGGGGTAAAATGATAATTTTCCAAAAATCACCTTAGAGTCATTATAACTTCTTCATAGAACAACCAATATAACATTTATATCTAAGTCTAGTAAATTCACTCTTATCAACTCCAAGGTTCTTTTTTCTAGCGATTGAGTAATTGCCCACAATTGTTTGAGTTTCATCAATATTTTCTATTTCAAAAAGTAATCTAGTTCCTTAGTTACTTTTTTTTTCTTCTAAAAAATTGCAACTCATTGCTATTGTAATCATCAGCTACAGGTTCATTTCCATCCTCCTTTTCCTTCCTTTATTCACCCTCCGTGACTGTATTTTTATAAAGCAAGATTCATTATGTTGACTGATGTAAAGACTTGGGACAATAAATTCACCCCTCTCAATAGCAAACAGTTGAAGTTGAAGCGCACTAGACTGCATTGACAATGCAGTTTGCATTGTTTTAATTCTTGAATCACCATTAACTGGATAATAGCTATCAGAGGGTCCTATCCATAGCAATTGTTTCACCTTACTAAAATATAATCGTTTAGTGTATTCTAAACAAAGGTCTATATAAGAGAAAATTTGTATTATACCCTTCCCACACGAGTTAAAACAAATTTTTGTAAATAATTAAAAAATGAGGATCCACTTTCCCTGATAGTTAAAGCAACACCCACCTTTTCAATTATTTTTTCAAGGAGGTCACATAACAGACATAAAAGAAAGAGAAAGTGATATCATAAAACAATAAAAAAAATAAAAATATTATTAATATTTTATGTGAAGACAATGTTAAAACATAAAAAAAGATAGAGATCATATGTTGTGTCTATCATAACGTAGAGAATGCAACCTCAAAAATAAATAAATGCATCTAAATATGACATAACTAACAACAAATCATGAAATACAAAATAAGACACGAAATAAATACTTAAAAATAAACTCTCAGCACACGTTAAGTAACACTTGCTAACGTATGCTCAAGGTACGATGCCTCAACGTTGAAAGATTCCACAACCGCCGCATGAAGCGGTGGATAGCATACGAGGGAGCACAATAACATCTGATTAATTATGGTATTCCACATACCCTAGCCTCCAAACTAAGGATTTGCCCTCAAACAATAAAGGGGAAAGGGTCAAAATTACCCCTCAACTTTCATTTAATAGTTAACTTTATCCTCCGTTAGAATATGTGGCCATTCATACCCCGCCATCTACAAATTTGTCATCCATACCCTCCAAAACTAACGGTTTCCCCCCAAATTGACCTCAAATCTCCAACTCAATTTTAAAGAACTTGCTTTCCTAGAGAAAATATTTTCCAAAAATTTCAACCAATCGAACATGAGAAAAATGAAAAAAAAAAACGATTTCCTCCATATCGAGCACACCCTAAAGATAACCAAATTAAAAGAAACACAGTAGAAACAAAATCAAAGTAGAAAATAATGTTGGCATAATAATATGCAAGTTTGATAGATATATGCAATCCAAACAACAGTAGGGTGACTAATTCAGGTCGTAGCAATTACATTGCACAAAGAGATTCAAATGAAGAAATAGGATAAAGCCCTCCCAAGCATGTTGGTCAGTAAAAGAGTCAGTAATCTTTTATTTAAACAAAGACGCTCTTCTTCACCGATATAGCCACAACGGTTTCCAAAAGCATATACCAGCTCCCAGTTGCTGCTATCTTCATCCAAATCCAATACCATGAATCTCACTTAAATAGTGCTTTATCTTAAACTAGACAACCAAAATTTTTATTAGGTATGTCTAGATAGTAAATTAGTTAGCCTATAAATTTGAAATAGAGTCAAATCTCTCCAGCCAAAATGGCAGTGAGAAGCAGCAGCAGCAGCAGCAAGCTAACTTTTGGATTTAACAGAGAGAAGTATGTCCCTTGCAGTAGCAAGATCCATTGAAAAGAGAACACAGGACAGTAAGTATTGTGAAAGGGACTCCATTATGAAAGCATAATTTCCATGACAGCTATTTCATGTCAAATGGCCAA